TAAGTGTGCCCGACAGCAGTCCAAAACAGCTGCTAAGCACCTGTTGCATTTCCACGCGCTACTTGATTCCCGGGCAATGTAAACCACATAACCATCTTTTGCAACTTTGGTCTTCCACAAGCGGCCGCTACCTTGCCAATTCTGGCTACAATTGCTACTACAGAGGTGCTGTCGAGACGTTATCGCCGAAAGAAAACAAAACAGAATGCCTCTAGAGCAAGCCAAGCATTCTAGAGGCAACTTCGCTCGGCCTCTGCCTTTGATCACCTCAAGATTGAGACAAGACAGCCAGTGGGGTCAACCTGATGTTCTAGAACCACTGCGAAACCCGCTTTCAGTAAGGGGCAATGGGGGACCGGCCCTCTGCTGAGAAGGCATATAGAAACGGAAGACTCGCTACGCAAAACTTTTGTTATTTTGTCCAGAGACTTGTTCGGTGGGCTGACTGTACAGAGGTACGTCCAGGTCCAAGTCTGGTGAGACTCAGGTCAGGTCGAACTAAAGGGTCATAAGTCACAAGCGAAGGCTTTCAATCTTCAGCCCAAGCTTTGCGAACTGCGCATTAACCTGAGTGGTTCCGGGAAGTAGGCGGCAACATGGTTGAGTTTTGTTCTGCCGTGACCCATGGGTGTTAGGTTGCATGCCCACAACCTCAAGCTCGAAATGCAAGAGGAGCAACTTCCTGTTTGGCGATCCGGTACGGAACTCTGTGGGCACACTTGTAGATGTGGCCGCAGCTTCCGCCTGTATCGACGAAAATCTCTCTCGTGCTCATTTGACGTATCAGGTATGAGGAGATGCCCAGCCTCCTGCAAGCGCCGATACTCAGCGATGGCATCTTGTGCCTTTTGGCAACCTGAGCAGCAGGAGTCTGGGAACGGCAGGGGACATGAGGATAAGCTGATGAAAGATTGACCTAAGTTGTTTAGATGTGCCTCCACCACGCTTTGCTGGGCCAGCTGACTGACTGCTTGGCCTTGTGTCTGCAGCACTCGCATCAGCTCTGCGAATGGAAACTTTAGCTCCGGGTCTGCGACTGCTTTCGGGCCTGGGCCAGGTTCGCTGCGGGTTGCCGGCCGGCACCTAGGAGAGCTGAACACTTACGACCCGATTGCCTGCCAAGTATGTCGCGCTAAGCGCTGCGCTGCTCCGCAGTGGCCCATGTCCAGGAAGTGTCGGGGGCCTTCCATCCCGCTCGGATCGTGCACACAACTGAAGAGGGCCCTTAAAATCAACGAAGGCGCTCTCCAGCAGTCGGGGGACGACTAACAAAGTGCGATGGCTGCATTTTTGGTAGGCTTCGGAGGGTCCCCCGTCCCAGATGTTCTACACGACGCGCGCACGCGCACGCACACGCGCCCCTACTCGCTGTCGAGTCGTTCTAGGGCACCTGGATGGCTTCGAAGAATTTGGAAAACTCATGAGAAAACGCTCCTGCATGTTTCAACAGCGAGGCGCTGGGCAGCGCTGCTAATCGATGTGCCGGTACTTTGTCCAGGGCCATCGTCATCATCAGGGTGTGGACGTATGTGAGAAGTGCACGGTCAAGTTAACACGTTGAAAAAGTCATGCGTGGCTGGGCCAAAGGGATCGTCGGTTTGGCACTCGCCGCAGGCTCTTCGCTACCTCTCCTACTCCTCGCAACACCTTCCTCTCGGTTTAAACTTCTTTTAACCTGGTGAGAGTATCATTCCCTTGTCGTTCGTCGTTCGCACTGCCCCATTTTCATCAGCTGATCCTGCCATGTTGTTGCAGCTGCTTGTCGCATCTGCATCTTCTTTCCGGCCTCCACCCCTGTGTGATACATCGTACGATACAAGCATAAACATATGAAAGAGAAGCACCGTGCGCAAAGCGAACGTGGCATAGGTATAGACCCTCCCACCCCGCCATGCTAATGCACGACATCAAGACAAGCAGAAAAGAATGAAGAGCTGGGCTGGCTGTCACAGTGACACAGTGTACTCTTATGTTTTCGTGACTTGAACGTCGTTTCCACAGTGGCGCTCGCCTTGGTTGCCTCCGCTTCTGAGCCGCCAAGCATGCTCGAGCAGTGGAGATGTCCTGCGGCAGCTTCTGATTAGGTTTCAGAATCTTGGCTTGCATGTCTCAAGTCCTGAAATCCCCATTCATCCTGCGCGTGCAAACGCAGCTGCACAGCTACACATGTCAAAAGCCCAAGCTGCCACTGGTGTTGTCTGTGCCTTGGCCTGTTCTGCGCGTGAGCGAGTGCCCTGGCCTAGCAATTTTGGTCAGTGATGCAAAAAGTATGGCATAAAAATGTCGCCATACCTGCCGGATCTTGCCGCCACCACGTTGGAAATGCGGCTGTGTTTCATTATCCTTCTGTAAGTTGCTGGCCGTCTGGCTCTGTCATGGCAGATTCAGCTGTTGATGAGAGCGATCTTGATCGTCGTGGACCTTCAGCAGTACAAGCAGCTTCAAGCGCATACGCAAACGAAACCATATGCTTAAATCGAGCCATGCGGAAGCTTAGCAAGGAACCAATACCAAAGCCTGAGCCCGGACGGCTGCTGTGAGGTGATCCCACAACACCTCGGGAAGCATAGAGTGAACATTGCTGTATCCGAATAACGACGCTTCTTCGCTGCGGACCCGTGTTTAATGGGGGGAAGCGGTTACCTTGCTCAGGCATTTTCTGGGATGGATTTCAGGGACAGTGCTCGCGCACTACACACCGGACAGCGGATACGACTGAAATGAGATAAACGCAAGGTCCGCTCAAACAAGCGCAGCTCAGCAACGTGCACAACTCAGAACTGTAGTGACTGTAGTGCGTCTACTGCCTTGTTATGCTTCATGATTCAACCTGAGACAAATCGCCCTCAAGAGCAACAAGGACATCACGAAGATGAAAACAAATCCATCGCTCGATCAAGGTACTTCCGCTCTCGCTGACAACATCAATGGTTGCTGGAGCCGGCGGGGCGCCTGCAAGCAGTCCAAAACGAGCGCACTTCTGGCACTGCTGCTCACAGGAAACCGCTGGCGACTGACTGAAGGAAAGGGAGCTGGAGAATGAGAGAGAGCGAGAGAAAGGGACCGGAGCGGAGAGGAGCGAAGCAAAGAGAAAAGAGAAGAGAGAAAAGAGAAGGGGGAGAGAGGTAGATAAACAAACTCTATATATCTTAACTCGGCCACTAGGTTAACCGGATAAACAGGTAATAGTAAATAGGAAAGGAGATGGAGATAGAGACAGAGAGAGAAAGAGAAGAGAAAGAGAAGGAGAAGGAGAGGGCAGAAAGAGACAGAGAAAGGGAGAGCGAGATCGAAACAACAACAGCTCACTGAATGGGCTGTGTTCGCAACAGGCGCGCCTGGAGCAATACTCTGCTGCGTCCACGCAACCTTTACGAAATTACTCGAGTGCTTCGATCATCAGTACGACTTCTGCGAATGCGAACATGCGGATGCAGCTCGGATGGCAGCCATTGGACCACGCGGCAGTGGCTCCGGCGCAGCGACATTGACCTAGAACGTATTGATCAATCGTGATTCGTTTTCAGGGCTTCCGGTTTGATGCCGGATGCTGGGTGCGCCACGTTCTGGTGAGTAATGCCGAATGCCTATCGAACGTCTGCTCACGGAATCTGAGCTGCAACTGTGACCCCAAAGTCCTGCAAAGCACAAGAAAACACAGCCTGAGGTACTTCCTTGAGCGGCGGCAAACTCAAGGAGCCGAAAGGGTCGGCCTCAGCCATCTGCCATCCGCGAAAGTGGGAGGAATGCTAGCTTTTGAGCTCGCAGTGTCTATCAGCACTTTTATAGAACGCTCACCGGCTGTCGGACATTCGCCACTGATCGAGCTTCACTCAGCATCTCCTCCAAATCCACCTCAGGACAGTCCTTGCGGCATCGCGCAAGGTCGTGTGCTTAGCGTGGCCTACGTATCAAGCTCCAGACCAGCAGCTTGATGACTTATGCAACACGTTGTGGCGACATGTCGAGACTGCCAAGCCAAGTGAACTGTCCTCCAAATCGTCATTCGCCATCCTCGACCTTTGTTTCGACTTGGATCATGTTGCGTGGTTCACAGCCGGCGAACCTGAATACCTGCCTAGGCAGTGGGTGTCTGGCACTTCTTTGGCCCAGCGCAGCTTTCGACGCACACGCGAGCCACGGAGTGCAGCCTGCATCATCATCAGCATCATCACCATCATCATCATCGTATCACATCCCATCAGACACCAGCGATAATTGCAATGAACGTGAGAAAGCGCCGTGCAGGCTCTACAGCGGTGCCTGAAGTTGCGTGGCAGCCTGCTTTAGCCTGGCCAAGTGCTTGTCTCCTGGTAGCACCTTCAGCCCCAGCTGAGCATCGTCCATGCTTCAACTTCGAGGCTGCCGGGTGCCACTCGGGTGCCACACCATGCCACGAGCCCGGAGATTGTTCCGAGAAGAATGGCCACGCCACATTGCCTTGCGTCTGCTATGCTGGCTGCATCTGACTTCTGCATGGGGCGCATCAGCAGTGAGGCACTACCTGGAAGCGGTTGATGCATCGAAGATGCCCTGGTGATATTGCCTGCTGGACATATGACTGAATGGACCGGACCCTGCGCTGACAGGTCCACCCAGCTCTGTCAAATGCCTCGCACACTCGTTCAAGGCAGAGTCGGGCAGCAGCCCTCCGTGCAAGGACTCCTCTCCAACCTCAGAAAGGCCAGAGATGGGGGATTCGAAGTGATTCGCGATTCAAAAGTCTTGAAAATTGAAACCAGGGAAATCGGAACGCTCAAACATGTTCGGCCTCTTTTGTTTAAACTGGCATCGACCTTAGTTTTTGGCTTGGCCTGGCTTCTGGGCAATTCTGGTCCCAATCCAGAGGTCCGTTGTCTTTCGGTGTGGTATGCTTGGCCTGGTCTCATCGGTTCTCTTAGTCGTTGCTCCTGCCCAAGGCTTAACGCGAATGATCGCGGATTCTAATTCTAGGAACATGCAGAAGGCAATGCTGAGTTCTGCATGCCGGTTATGCTTGAATTTTCAATATGCCAATATGCCGGCTGCGAGATGCCAGACAGCTGCTGACAGGAACAATGTGCGTTCCCAAAACTGCAGGACATATTCGGTTCAACAGAACCAATGAGACTGCTACTTACTTACAATACTTCCAAATATGAGATGGAGGGGGCACTGATTCCTGCTTCCTCAGAATGTTGTGAGGGCCATGAATGAAATCTTCAGAGAGGTGCTGATCAGATATGTTGAAATGTATTGAACATGCTGGGCGGCCGGAGTACAGCTCTGCTCACCAGGCTCATGCTCTTTTGAAGTGGTTGGACCTCTGAATTTCCTAACTTGATGCGGAGCAGCGAACGAGACAGTTACTGACGCATGGATGCTACAAACTTGGCAGGTGACGAGACTGTACTTTGAGGATCAGCGTCTGACATGACCTCGCATCTCAGACTGCTGTGATCGAAGGCGGCTAAGCTCGAAACTGAAACTCAAGACCCACGCAGACTCAGGCAGACTCATGCAAGCCATCCAACACAGAAGCTGCGCATCCTTCGCCCAATACTTCCCTAACTTGTCTTCTCCTCGCCTCTCGGAGCCCGGTATTTGTAGCTCCTTGGAAGATGCCGAGACCGGCAGTTCTCGCGGTGCCATGCAGTATGTCGGAGTGACCGGCCATTCATGGTAAGGCGATGGCGAATGCCGCTCTTCGACAGACAGCGCCCTGCTTGGCTCTCCACGGCACCAGCCTTGTGCTTCCATTGGAAATCTGCAGGCAAAAGCGGTGTGATCATGGGATGTCATGGGATGTCATATGGGATGTCATTCATGGGACTTCAGAGGTCGGTACCAGTCGTACTGCGTGAAGCAAAGCTGCAAGTAAGCAGTCCAAAAGTCATGCCTTCGACGTAAAGCCTGGCATTCGCACCGCGGAGGCTCACTAGCGGGAATTGGCGGGCACTTCAGAGAGCGATCTAAGCTTGGCTCGAAAAGGGCTTCGCAGCGGCGAAGGCGCTGAGCTCTGGTTTCGCAGCTGGATAGCAACGCGGCCTCGTTTGAAAACATCTGTGACAGCGATCTGTTGATTCTTCGAAGTGCATCGAAACGCATCAAGCTTCTCGCAGTGCGTCGCTCGTCCCTGGTATGAGCAACCTTGCTTCCAGCATTGTGCGCGTTTTCTGCCTTATGCAATCACTGCCACTGTCTTCTTGCCAAGAGGAATAAGCTTCGTGCGAATGGAGCACTCCGTGCGGCATTCAACATCTGAGGATACGGTACGACACACCATGTCAGCAAGTCGAAATGTCTACGGGCTCTGAACATCGTATCAGGACAGCGCCTCGCACCAGGCTGCAAGCCTCAACAAAAGTGGATGGCTGAAACGAACTTTCCTGGGCTCTGCACGATGGCGCAGGTGAAAGATTTGGGGCACTGGACACGAGGCTGTTAAGCGCAGGGCGCACACATCGGACAGCCACTTTCTTCCGAGACGATGTCGCCAGACATCTTCCAGCCAGCCTTCCATCTGTCGACCACTGCCTGTTACAACTGTCACAACTACACGCAATGAGAAGCTTAGAACGCTTACCGCGACAGGCAAGCTCCTGCAGTCTGCAGTGATACAGGGCTCAAACTATTCAACTTCATGGGAGCCGAGGGGATTATAGGTTGCCAAAGACTGCCAGACCCGGACTAACCAACTCTAAATGCCGCCTAGCATGCATCACGGCTTGAATTTTTCAGGTTGTGCAAGTTCAATGAGCCGTGGACTTTGGTGTCGGGGAATGGAGATCGAAAAGCTGCGGAAGCAAAGCTGGCTCGCCGGACGAGAGCGAGGTCCATCTAAGGGGCGAAGGCAGGATGACAAACTTCAGCCCCACTTCCACACAATGTGTGCTATTTTGCTAATGTACTTGCTGAGTATGGAGTGCAGCGAATTCAGAGGCAGCCTGCTTCAGACTCCGGTAATGCAAACACATCCGTTGGCATCTTGACAAAGCAAGGAAACTTGCATCTTGGAGGCTAGATTGATGTCGACAACTCATTCAACTCACGACTCTGAGGCCTGATGCCAGCTGATGCCAGTACTCCTTCCTGGCTGAGAATTCAGAACTGGAGAGGAGATGTTGGAAGCCAGGGTGACGCAGCAAAAGCTGAAAAGCATGTGCCTGCCAGTCCTGCACACCGTTCGTTTTGATCTGGCGGGGATGTTGGGCAAATCTGGGGCCGCCTGCGCCAGGACACCGCTTCTTACTGGTTTCCAATGTATGCTTGCACCAGCTCGAGCTGGCTCAATGTAAACGCACATGCCAGCTGTGCCGGCTCATTGCGACGTCAGCTCCCACCAAGCCTCGTGCATGAGAGTCTGCTACCTTGAAATAAAAGATGTCCCTCAATGCTGTGACATTCCGTGCCTAGGAGGCCTTCAGCGTGAAGGCCGGCCTAGCGCACGTGACCGAGGCATCAGCCACGCGGTTCCAGAGCTTCACACGTGCGTGGGACGCGGGAGAAGCATTGGAGAGGCTCTGTGACCAGCAGGCTTGCCAAGCCTTGTCTCCGAATGGCGATGTCGGCCAAGATCTGCAGTGGGCGAAGGTTTGGGGCTTGTCGATGTGTTCGACATTGTTCGACATGTCCTGCCTCTCCGTGAGTGAGGTAGCTGCCTTGGCCTGCCCTGCTTGGCCAAAGCCCTTCAAGTCCAGCTCCCGCCTGATGCGATAGTCACATCGGTCACCCAAGCTTTTGCTCTACATCACTTTACATCCTGCATGTTAAAAAAGAGTGAAAGGGATATCTAGATGTGAAAGGGATACTTTTTCAGGAAAGTTAATAAGCTGTTGGAACGTTTCTTGGGGCCCTAGCCTTTTGGACTCATGAATACGACTGCCCATGACAGGGTTCTTGCATGAGGAAGTGCGTCACGGGTGTACGAAGCTAATGCTGGTACACGCAAAAGAGAACCCATCACATCCACTAAACATTCTAAATTCATGGGGGCCTCTGGAGAATTTTCGCGTGCCCCTACAAGTAAAAATATGCGGCAAAAGACAAAGCGCATGGGATATGGCCGCTCGTTAATCAAAAAACCTTTTTTGCGTGGAACAAAGAGTTCATGAATGATGAATGTACCCGAAGCCCTATTACAAGACATGAGTTGTGGCAAGGGCCTCTCAGACTCGTTTACCGTCTCATTGTCGAGCTCCTGCGCATCTGACCAGTGGTGAAATTCAGATCCTTCGGTCTCGCTTTCGACCTCGAGCTGTGGCGCCATTCTCAACACCCATGGCCTCGCTGACACAGTGACAGATCAGTGATACTGTGGGATGATGCCAATCATGCCTACAGTAGTACTGTAGTCTTGCAGTACGTTCAATACAAGTACATCCGAGACTTTGGCCGATACTCTTCCATCATCTCCGCAGCCTAGCTCCCAGAATGCGCAGACGGATCAGCTTAGAACAACCGAACTCTGATTTCTGAAATTTCTCTCTGTGGCTAGAAACCGCACAAGGCGGAGATCTGCTCCACGCGAATCGAACAAATCATCCTCTAAGCTGCCGAAAAGCATCTCTCCCTTGGCTTTTCCACTGGGCCGCGCACTAGCGGGTTGTCATTGAGTTGTAGACGCGTCAATCTCGCAAAAGGTACAACCTCGACTACTTGTCGCATGTTTCTGACCTGCATGGAAGCCTCTCACCTGAGCTCCTGATGGCATTGCTTCTCGGCACCGTCGACGTCTGTTTGTGGAAACTCGGAAACTCCACGAGGCTGTAAGGCTGAGGTGGCGGCAGCCTTGTAAGACTCAGGGCGGTCGAGCTGGTTGAAAGCCTTTTGAGTCTCGGAGGAAGTCTCTCTTGCGACGCTTCTGAAGCTCCGGCTCTGCTCTGCATCATTTTGACGTCGCTAATTTGTGTGTTCTCCCGGTCTTCCATAAGCTATGACCCCATGTACACAATGTACACGTGAGACCAGGAGACCCATGGGACCTCTTCTGGAATCCCAGGAGGTCAAAACGTTCGGGCAACAAGCAGGAGGGCAGCTTGTGCTGCACTCGCTCGTAAGCGCAAACTTGACTAACACAGTACTAACACATGTGGCTACACCAAGGCATGTGCCTTGGCACGGCAAAATGCGGTATTGACAAATGCAAGAGGCGGCCATCGCGCAAGGCCATCTGAAACGAAATTCTATGGCTCTGCATTCTGTCTGCGAACCTGGATGAATTTGAAATTGGCTCTTATGTTTGCAGCCGACGGCTCCCTTTTCATGCTGGTCCTCCAGCAGCACGCATCCGCAAACGCAATTCCTTCAAGCAAGAACCACTGCAGATTTGCTGCACAGGCAAGCGAGCTTGCACAAGCTTAAGCAGACTGCAGATATCTGCCGATACTCCTGGTACAAGCGGTTGCCAAGATCCTCATCGCCCTCACACTGCTGGGTGAATCGTTGGTTTGGCCAGCGGAGCAAGTTCCTCATAGACTGGCTGCAGGCTACCACAGTACTACTAGACAGTGCTTCACAACCATGGACCCCCGGGCAACCAGTTGCATCTGAAGAACTTGCCGTCAGTGCCTTTTGAAATCGTCGCAGCAAAAACCTTTGCCTTTCCTCCACAGGCTTCCTGGAACCACTGACGCACCTCTGCCACAGCACCAGAGCTTGCATTGAGTAGCCCTTCACCAGGAATGCGACAGCCCGTGAAACACTTTCCCTGATCCCGCCTCCGCCTCAGACCAAGTCTTTGGATGAGCCTCCTTGGAGCACATGCTAGGATTGCAGAAGCGCATGAGAACATTGGGTAGAACAGCAACAGCACCGTGAACATTGGCTGAAAGCCGAGGATCTACCTCCTGCTTTGGCTTGACTATGTCCTCTCTCTCCTCGAAGCTCATCTGTGTACCCTGAAGTTGCTGCAGGGCACGGAGTGTCCCGATGGAGTGCTCCGTGTCTTTAGCTGATGGACTCACAGTGCCAATCGCAACCACCATAGCTTGATCGCTGGCGAAACTATCTGAAAGCACCCTCGTCAACAAGCTTTCTCTGTATGGTGGTTGTCCTCTTGAGGAGCGCATGACTCGGAAGCATTCTTTCAGTGCAAAGATTGTCGAATTGATCTCTGCGGCATCCTTTCGGCTGCCTGAGTCAACTGGCAGTTCCATGTCAAAGACCAAGAGCAGCATACTCAGTTGAGAGGTGGAATTATTCTTAAGCCCTGACTTAGAGCAAACAAGGTGAGTACTGAAACGCTATGTCATTATGAAAACCTATGGAGCCATGAAACACAAGTGACACGACTGACACGATGCAACTTATTCTCAACTTCACCTGAACCGGGCCAGCTATGAAGTGCTAGCATGGTGCGAGCATCGTGCTGCGTGGTGTCCTCTCTGCGCTCACTGCCTGCGCAATCCACCAGAGTTAGCGTAGCCGGGCTGTCCTTGGCTTCTTTTGCCTCCCGTGTGATGCGAAACACCGCGTGAGAGCGAGAAGACGTTTCGTTGACTTGCGTAGCTCGCGTGGCTCTGTGAGCCTGTGCCCCTTGCAAGATTCGTACCAGATCCGCACTGCTTGACGCATCCTGTGTCTGAAGACCAAGAACTTGTGTCTTACCACTCTTGTCTTCACGAATCTTCAGCTCTTTGGGGCTGCCATCCAGAAGATCGCGCATCACTTTGCCTGCGATTTCGAAGGCAGTGAGCGTCACTTTGCTTTCCTGCTGGAAGATATGCGCTGCAGCTCGTTGCAGCAATCCACTCATGGTGTGAGTCTTGCCACTCCCAGTCTGTCCAAACATGAAGAGCGCGGCAATATTCCCACTCAATACATGCTGAACTGCTGCACTCGCACAGTTCTCATAGACCTCATCGTCGGACACCGACTCATGAAAGGCGTTTGTAAACTGAAAGCCCATGTGAGACACAAAGAGTGAGCGTAAGTCGGCCTTGGTCAAGCAATTGTGGATGATGACCTTGCGGCCTGTCACAGTCGCAACATCAAATTCGTCTGCCTCCTCCTCGTGTGGGAAGAGGGGACGCTTTCTGACATACACGCGTACTCGACAAGGCTCACTCGCTTTCTCTGAGCTCTCGTCGTTTGAATGACGCTCACACCAGGACTTGATGTGCTGCTCATACATGTTCTTGTGCCTCTTCCGAAGCTCTCGCTTGTCAAACATTTGTCTGGTCACATCCTCAGATTCCAAAGCCTCCTTGGACTCCTTGGCTTTTGCATCATTCGCCAACCGAGCAGATTTTGTGCGTCGTATGACGGCCGTGTCATCTACAGCTTTCGGCCTTTCGACCCGCTCGGCCTCTGCTTTGTCCCGGATGCGGCTGGCTGTGCTGAGTTGGTGTAGGTTCGCATCGCTGATGTCTTCCATAACCAAAGACCGCCGGCGTTCTGGTAGTTCACCGGGAAGTTCACCGAAGGAGACAACCGGACGATTACATTCTTTAGCGAAGCTATCCATGTTCCGTCGTAGATGTTCCATATTTCGACTGTTTCGAGCTGCCAGGTCAGCAGGCTTGGGTCCCGCTTGGCGGGGGGGATGGGGGGCCTGGGGAGCCGGGGGGACCTGGGTGGCCTGGGGGGCTTGAGGGGTCTGGGTGGCCTGGGGGGCTTGCTTCTGCCGGCCGGATGCTCCATTGCTTGAGGCACGGTGCTGTGCAGCCTTTGGGGCAGGCACCACTTTTGCAGATTTCCGTTCGGAAGTGCGTGTTTGCGTCTGGACATGTGAAGCGACAGCCTTTCGGCCGCCTTGATCTTGATTGAGGTTAGCCAAGTTGGTTGTGAGAAATTTTGGTGTGGGAGTGTCCGAGCCTTGTTTGGCACGGGTTGCAGGATTGAAGTGTAACCCGTTTCTGGGCAACGGCTGTGTTTGAGCGACAGGCTTGGTTCTCGTCATGGAGGGCCGTCGCCTTTGGCATGGCCCGGGCTTCGGTGGTGATATGGATGCGGCCTTCAACACAATCCCAGTCTTGCGATAGTGCTCAAAGCGTTGCACTTCATTGCGCAAATCCTGGTACAAGGCTGCTGCTAGGTTGTTGTCGCCCTTGCACATCTGCTCAAAGCGACTTACATTCCATCGCATGATGTTGCGGCCATCTGTACCTTTGGAGAGCGGCTCCACCTCTTTGGTTCGCTTTGTCCGTTTATCCCACCAGTCTCGGACTTGCTCTTCAGTCCACTTCTGCGGATGTAAAACAGACGACGCTGACACTGCGCCAGGCAACAGAGCAGGCGTCAAATCGCAAATCTCCTCGCACAACACGTTACATGAAAACTGCTCGCAGCGCTGTCAAAAGGCCTAAAGACAATTGTTCTCCGGTTGGGTTCTTCTTTGGTTTGTAAAGTTTCCAGTGTTTCGCAGTGATCTGAGCCAATATTCTGCGTCCTCTCCGGAATCAGCCGGCAGTTGCCCAGGCTGCGAATCTGCTACCGGCAGCTCCAGTGCCATCTCATCTTTGCGAGGTGGGTGTGGCATTGCAATGCAACAAATGCTCATGATGTATGCTGCTGATTTCCTTGCTGTAGAGGTTCGCCCGTCTCACATAGCAGTCAACATGTTTCAGCATGACTTGCAGTGCTACGTGATCATGTATGGAAGCTAGCAGCATTCGCATGGAGATGCAAGCTCCTGACCAGAGCCACACTCTCAGCAAGACTTCTTCTTCATTGCTCGGGCCGGGACAAGCTCCAACGTCCGCAGTAGCGGGCTAGCCTGGGTCCAGCGGGTTCAGGTTATCTCTAACTGTCACCAGAGGAATCAACATCAGCATGCTCAGGTTGGCACAGCAACTGGAAAAGAAAGCTTTCGGATCCGATTGTGCTTGGCCTGCACGTGCACATGGTGCACATGGCTGTTGACTATGTTATCGTACTATGGTATCCTGTAGCCGTTAGGCTTGCCATCAGGCTGTGCCTGAAGCCGTTCCAGTGAAGGTAAGAAGCCAAGAGGTCCCAACTGCTCGATCAAGTTGTTGTCGACCTACAACTTGAGGCTTGGCACAGCCCTGCGAAAAAATGAACTAGCGCCCCTGAGTGCATGCGTGCTGCAATGATGCAGACAAAAGGCAAGCAACCTGATACTGCAAATTCGCAGACATTTTTCTTGCCTACTTGGTAGAGCAAGGGTGTCGTCAAACGCTGGTGAAGAGCAGCACTTCTGTCGACAGGTTCATCGAACATGCATCTTTGCCAGGTCTGCTGTGGTAGGCTTGACAAGACCAACGCAAGTGCAGTAGCGGGCATTGTAGTATGTCCAACATACCATGTGAGAAGATGACAGTGTCTAAGCGCTGCCAAGTCCTTTGCGGTTGCATTAGCTCCAGGGAGCCTGGATGTTACAAGAAAGGCTGCACATTGGCAACCGAAACTGTCGGTGCCGACGTTTGCCAGCAACGTATGCCTAGCCACCTGCTAGGACTGGACAACAGGCCTAATTAAGGTACAAAAAACGGCTCCCAGAGCTGACAGCTGAGCTGACAGTCTTCGCCGGGCTCTTAAAGTGCCGCGATGCTCGAGTCAACGCTTGACTGTCCTGCGCCTTACGACCATGTGGCGAACAATACGACACTCTGACATGCTGATACTTTCAGAATGCAAAGCGAGAAGGAATGCAGCGCAGCATAGCGCAGCGCCCTGACCTATGCAGTCCCAGAAAAGCAAGCAACTGCGCAACTGCGCAAATCAGTCGAGTCGCTGTATTGCTGCTAGCCCGCAAGACTCTGAGCTCTCCAATGTCATCTTGTTGATGAGATCGGGATCTGAGTGAGTTGGAGGTGTTTCGCAGATTTTGCAGATTTTGCAGCTCGTTGATCTTTGTCGTCTGAGGTCCCGACCCCATGGCATGTCAGAGGCTTCACCTCTGCCTCGAGAGCTCCAGTTACAACAAGTTGCCGCAATCCCCCAACAGCTGCGGGCTGCGGGAGTGGAGAGCAGGTTTCTGTAGGAGACGACTCTTTCCACGACGGGCAAGCCGAATTCAACGAAAGCTAGCCCAAATCCGAGTGGAGACCTGCGTACGCCCTAGAACCCTACATGCCCTCAACCTTCAACACCCCAAAACCCTGTATGCTCCAAACCCTCGATAATTCAATACCTAGACACTGGATTCCCTAAAGCTGGAAACCCGAAAGCCCTAAATGCCCTAAACCCTCCATGCCCTCAACCCTGTCTAAAACCCTTCTTGCTGTTGCTCTTGTTTAAGTGTGGTTGGACAACATATATTGATTTGGTCACTAATCCCCCCCAAGCAGATTCCTGTGGACTACAGCAGACTTAGCTCCACTAGCTTTCGTGATTTGGCACTCGCCTGAGAGGAAGGCTTCCAAGTGGTCTTGGCGCTGAGTGTAGCTGTTTCAGTTTCTTGCGACTTTGGGAAACATGACTCAGTCCCGACCGCGTGTTCCAACGCTTGCGAACAGCTTCTGCTTTATTGCAGCCGAGTTACTCTCCATGGCATTTAGCTCTGCCACGAAGGCAAAGACAAAATGCCTGTCAAGATGCAAAGCTTTCTATGATGCCACCTACTTTTGCCTCTCAGATACTCAGATGGCCCCACGAGCTCTCCTGCAAAGAACGAAGGAGCTCTGGCTCATCCGCATGACGTTGCCGAAGCTTTGTGACCTTTAGTTGGAAAGAACGACCCTTCGACGTACTGAAGCACACAAAAAATGTTCAAATACCAGTCAAAACCAGTCTGGGATGTCTCTTAGGAAGCCCCCGCCGCCGCTGGATCTCAAAGACTCAGGCCTTCTTACCCCTTCATCCTATGGACTGTGAGGCAACCTTTCTGAACCGCTTGCTTTTTGATCACTCACGTGCTTTCCTTTCATGCATTGTGATGTCTTGTGTAGTAGTTGGTGGTATCGCATGGCTTTAGAACTTTTATTTCAACCCATTGCAGCCTCGACAGTAGTTTGTTGTTCTCTGAGAACATGCAATTTCAGAACTTATCTTCGTACAAAATGGAGATAACCTCATTCTTATCGAAACGTGGGGAGCAACTTTTCTTTTCAAATGGCAGTGACCTCAAATAGTGCCACTCTAAATAACCGCAGATTCTGCAAATGAATGGTGACCGCTTTAAACGCGATGGTTCCATCAGGTAAGAAAACTTCAAGATAAAGTGGGGAGGGGGGGTAACGCCGTTCTATACGGATTGTTCGGGGGGGCTTCCCCCTCCGCTCCAGCAGGATCTTCATTTTTTGTCGGCTCGGTCTTGCCCGCAGGGCTTGTCAGAGAAACCCTGCGTCAGGTTCGAGGGTTACGGCAGCGCCGTCGGCCAAAAAATCTTTGCGTAAGCAGGCCCGCCAAACAGCGTGATTTCTGCTGGGACACTAGTTCTGAGTCAAAGCTTGAGGTTTAGGGTTTAGAGGCTTGACAGGATGCAAAGATACCTCCAGCATTTTGCATCGGCCAGCCTGAAATATGGCTGACACTCAGGGAACTCAGGCAATAGTAGATCTGGACTGGCCTGAACCTACGCACCTACAAGCCTACACACCTAGACACCTACACAAGCACACAGGCAAGCACAAAAGCACGCATGGTCCCTCCTAGCTGAGGTAGTGGCAGCTCTTCAACACGTTCAACGAGCAGAAACAAACGAGAAGACTGGAGAGCGATGCTGAGTGCTTGGCGACAGCAACAGCAAGACAGTGGGCTGGGAGGAGATCACGAGCCTTAAGCTGCGAAGATCGAGCTGTCTTCTGTGAGCTTTGCAGTGAGCCTTGTGGGTTCAGATCTGAGGAATATGCAGTCCACGATGGCTCCATTGAGTCCACAAGGAAGCTTCGGCCAGCCAATCACCCTCATGTAGTTCCTCTGCATCACCACAAAACAGAGTGCGCACATGAATGCACATGATATTGCTTTCGACTGAAGCCAGGGAGAGACAAGGGTAAGACCATGGCCTCACACCTTCCATGCTTTACCACCGGGTAGGCATACTTTGCATTTCCACCTGGGCCAAAGAGTGCAAAGGCAGCTCTTCGCTTTGTCCTCTTTCCACATTGCCACAGCAGAGTTTGACTGTCGGGTGCTTGCATCAAGCATGCCCTGAATTTGGTTTCGTTCTGTTTGGCAACTCTGACTCCTGGTTTGAAGACTCATACGTCTGATATGCTCAGGCTCCGACTAGCAATGAAGTACATGTGCTCGCCCAGCTCACCTTCGCCAAGGAAGCAAGTCAAGACCGTTTATGCTCCGGTCCGGCCGCTGGCCACATTGCCGCACTACCCAGAGGTGCGCTCCTATTCCGACTTATTTATTCAGCTTCAGCGCTGTCTTGTGAGCCAACCCTGGTACGCAACATACATGACTTGTATGCCGTGCAAACGCCCGCCGGCTAACCGCAAATCCTGCAAAAACTGATCGGGATTGTGTTTGTGCGCCCATGCCAGCACAAGGGCACATTATGTGCAGGCTCGGCTTCTTCCGTTGTCCAAGAAGCTCTCTCTCTCTCTCTCTCTCTTTCTCTCGCTCTCCCTTCTTCAAGCGTGCAAAAGGCTCTCGCTCTTTCTTTCTTTCTTTGGGGTGTGGGGGTGTGCCCCCACGCTGATGCGCGACCCCGCTCCCGCGTCACTCGGGGAAGACCTGCTGTGACTCTCGCTCTTCCTTCCTTCCGTCGCACATAACCTCCCAGAGGGAGGTCGCCCTCACGGGCGTGCTCCACTGAGTCTGTCGGTGAAATATGGTGGGGAGGGTGGGGTTACATCTTGTTCGATTGCCCCCCTCTGTGCCTCCCCAAAGCAACCCACGACTCATCGCTCTCTCTCTCTCTCTCCCTCTCTCTCCCTCTCCCTCTGAAACCAGATTGCCTTGTGCCTAAAGTGTTAATGCTACGGAGGCAGGCATGGGTTATTCCGCTCTGCATGGTCCTCTGCCACCAGAATGAAAAACGAACACAACACTTAAGCTCCTGCAGCCTTACCTCGAGACACATCGAGCGCAAAAATTCGTTGTGGCTGCTCTGGTCTGCTTTCTGAGTCTGTAGATGTCAAGTCAATCGTTTTCTTCATCAGTATAGTGTTACGGATGCACCTTCGCCCACGAGATGTCTGCAGCAATATTTCAGGTGTTTCACTGCTCTATGGAGGTCTCACGCTAAACTTTAACGAGCCTGGCTTTACACTCCTCTTGGGAATAACTGCGATGTTCCCGATCTATCACGTCTGCATGCGGCCGTGTCTCCAGCTCGAAAGATGCAGTCTTGAAGAGCGAACTGCACCTGAATCTCTCAGGCAGCTCCACTTTGACAGATGTCGCATGACTCGCACAATGTCCCCTCATGTCACCAGCTCATCCAGCCTGAGTTATCGCGCCAGCACACAACTTGACCTGGTGCCGTTTGCACAAGTCAGGCGACTTCAATGGCTGCCTACGGACACACTGATCCTCTTTCGCTCATCTGCATGAACAAACGCTGGAGCAAACTTGCGAGGCACACTGTGCAGCGGTCAAAGTCTTGCTTAGGCAAGCACCATCAAGGAATGTACGCACTCGCCCAAGTAATGGAAGAAGGGGTGGAGGACGACCTGTCAGCAAGCCCAGCCTGATGCCTGGTGCCCTGTGCTTCGTTTGCCTTTCAGAGTTAAATAGCTACGCAGCTACTAAGTCCCTCCTTGTCTAGCTCCTTGTGTGCTTGTGGGCTGAGCACGGGACAGTCTCCTTGTGGACCTCGTACTGAAGAAGTTCTTTGAGAGGGTCCGACAGCTTGCCCAGAAGGGTGACATCGGTGTACTTCACCGTTCTTGCCTTAAGCCAAAGCGAAATGTTGTCGGGGATTGTTCGTGAGCTACAAGTAGTGCGGGTTGCTTGGGGCCTGCAGCATGACCACGTGCTCCAAAAACTTGATTATTCGGACTCGAGATGGAGTAGTGACCTGTCGCAGAGTGTTGAAGCGCCGCCCAGCGGCGCAACCCAACTTGGCAAACATCAGTGCGCCTTTTTGCGGCGTAGATATCTACGGAGCAGCCAGAATTG